TACATAGCCCATAAAATATTTCATCCGCGAATCACTATTCAACCTCTAAGTAATTACTTAAATTCATATAAAAAATCTTTGCTGTATGTAAGAAAGGTAATTTGAATTATTGATATTATACAAGGAAATAATGATATAACAATATTAATTTTGAAGCATGAAAATTTTAAAATTTTGTAAATTAATATATTGGATTTTATATTTTTTCGCCTATGCGATGTATTGCCACTCATAAGATCATGTGTAATGTGAAATTAAAACAATGAATAATAATGTGTTGATTTAAGGTTAGGGTTAGCATTAGTAGTGTGGCTTTAAAAAATAAAAATTCTAACCTAAAATTTTGCAAGGAATTTTTTTAATTAGAACGTAAGAGGCGGTTTCATAAACAAAATCTTGAGTTACAGACAATTTTTCAAAAAGACCATATTTTGTTTCGATTTCACGTTAATTGGTCGATCAGGGGTAGTGATATATCGCTATGCGATAAATTACAATACCCTTATATATTTACCTGCCTTATAACAAAATTTATCTTTAATCATATTCTTTAGAATGTTTCGTAGCCTTATTATTAGTTTTAATCACCCCTTTTCTATGGAATTCTTTTTGGTCTAACTGACAGAATTCACATAACGGATAAATTTGCTTGAACCGTTTTTTTAAAGACTGAGGAGGAGTTACCAGATCTTCTCTACTTCCACAATAATAGCAAATCAGATAGTTTCCTTTACGACTTGAGTAGTACAATATTTCAATTGGTGAATCGCAATTAATCTGCGAACATACGAATATAACTTCTTTTAAGTAATGATCATCAAGAAAAATTGGTGTGACACAGGAGTATGAATACAATTCTAATATTTGTTGATAATCCAGTTGTTCTTCATTAGTTAAAGACTTGTTACTGTATACACAATGACGTTTTCGGCAATTTTCACAATCAATATAACCACAGATTTTTTTGGAAATTGATGGATTTTGGAATAGACTCTGAATTCGCCTTTGACTGAATATATGTCAGCCTATATTCTTCTGTAGTTTTAGTACCATAAACTTGTTGAAAAGTTGCATAATGATCCGTATTATCTAATTAAATTTGTTAATATACAGTATATGTATACATAATTCTAAAAAATAATATAATTTACCTTTTGATGGGATTGGATCTGGAAGAAAGTTCAAATTATGAAACTCATGTGATGGAAGACGGATTGGCTTGCAATATAAGCAGGAATAATTGTTACATTTTTTTATCTTCAATATATAAAATTTCAATTAGTGTTCAAACATAAAATAAATAAAATACATGTTTTTGTGACTTGCAAAATTCTGTATTCTCTCTTGAAAAATATCAAAGAGAAGTTGCACAGTTGTTATGTGATTACTAATGATTTCTTAAAACTATCCTGATATGATAATTTTATATCACGATATCGGAGTAGATTTAAGAAATCGTAAATAATTAGTAATCACGCAAATTTTGCAAACTGCAATAATTTCAATGCTTCAATTGTGATTCTATTTTAATTTGTAATTTTAATAGCAAATTACTATCGCCATCCATTATATCTATTGTGAATATGTGCCTAAAAACTATAAGCATGCATTTGGCAATGAGTATCTATAAACCTAACTAATGTTATATGGCAACGCATTTGTGCTTGTGTAGTTTGTCGATTTTTAATGTTGAATCAATACTAGAAATTGACTAATCAAAAAATTAATTATATTTTATAATATCAGATATATATGAATAAAGAAAATTTAAATTAATAATATTTGTGAAATGCAGTGAATAATTATAGTAATTATAATATTTAAGCAATAAAAATAATAAATGCCGTATTTACTTCAAATATCTCTGCAATGGCTTCTTCGCTTGCAGGTAAAAAGTATTTAAATTGATTATTTTTCAATCAAAGTCGTTCAGTTCGACTATTTAATATTTCTTTAACACCTGAAGTACATTCTTTTAACTCAGACTTTAATTTACTAG